TGGGTTGGGATGATTTTTAGCACAGCTGGGTTAGGATAAGGTTTAGAAACCACGTTATTCTATCCGTTGTTCCAATATATCAACTATCTATGCCGAAGTTTATAGAAAGTCGGTCTTTCGAACCATAAGATAATTGAGATTCAGCATAGCGACTTCATCATTAGTCAAAATCTGCTTTTATATGCTCGAAAGACGCGGTTACTAACTACTATACTACCGAGGAAAAACGGACGCATGTGACGCAGTGGTCGGAAGCGCCCTGTAACACACACGTAGGATCGACCTCCGCGCCCATGGCCCACCAAGCCTTCCATCCCTCTAGCGTTGGCAAATTGGTACCAGACATGTCTGATAGGATAGCGACACCGACTCGATACATCGGTAGGCCACCGCTAGTTATTGTAAAAGCCAGATATGCATTCAATCACCTCCAAACGATGCTGAATGAAGTCGAGTGCATGATGCTTCCCTCAGATTTGATCAACGCCAGAGCATTATCCTTTATCCTTTTTATGGTCGACACATAATGGACCATATTAGTTTTCCGACAAATGTCGATAATTTCCTCATATCTAAAATACTTAAACACTTTAATGCCAGTCGAACCTATAGAACAGAACCTGTTCTACCATTGCTATTATCTACAACTTTCCTTAAGTGCTGTTGCCGTTTTGCGTTGTCTCTGAAACAATTCTTTAAAAAGGTGAGAAGCGTCATCAAAACTAGGCTCTTAGACGAAGAGAAACTCAGAACATTATGGCGCGAAAATAAAGCAGCCTTTACCTTGTTTTCGTATATGTGGATTTGTACGGATTTTATTGTAACGAATGAAGTTCACAAGAGGCTGAGCAGTGTTTGTTCAAAGTTGGAAGATTGAAATGTTTCAGAGCAAATAGGAACAACACCAAGCACGGCGAAGTCGGTAAACCACTGCTGAAGGGAGTGGTGAGAATTAAGGCAGCCCTGCTCTATATGTGGAATAATACTTTAGAACATCCGCCACAGTGGCGTGCAGCATAGCTGTTTTCTTAAGAGGTTACCGCCGTTACTGCCCTTGTCCCTTTCTACTTCCTTCTCCTCTTTGTCACCAAGCAATGTGACAAAAGTCAAAGTGACAAAAGTTTTTATGAATCTCCAATTCATAAAAAGATTTTTCCTTCCTTTTTGCCGCATTACAGCCCGTGTTTATCGTTTTTGGGGAAACTAGGATTAAACTGAATGATTGCGGAACTAAACTGCTTTCTGATCACGAAGGTGTTGACATTGAGCACGTCGAGAGCACTGAGACTGGTGTAACTTGCAGTACTCCTCAAGGGAACCCCATCAGTAATTTTTATTCTCATTACGGTGAGATTTTGAAGAGACGATTTCCAGTGAATAAGTAGATGCATTTGTGCAGCCTCTTCATGAGCCACAGTCTGGTAAATACTCTGACGCCGATGGAACCTAGCGGCAAAATGAACTCTTCCAAAATGAGGTTGCTTGTGTGAAATACACCGAATACAGAATGTGGTGCAGAAAAAAATTCTGCGACTCGCTAAAGAAATGTGTATCCATTCCTGTGTACGTGATGCGGTGTGCGTTAAGATAACCCATCGAGCACTCCATGACGCTAGCTAGTTCGCAACCGCCTTTGACCGTCTTCTACATATGCAACGCAAAACTGCACAATAAGCCTTAGCGCAAGAAAAGATGGTTGTATGAGTTCGAGTATAGTTCATCTGCTTGTAAAGCTTGCTAGGGCGAACAAAATGGCAAAAGGGGTAGACCACTGTGTCTCAGCATGAAAGAACACCTAGTCGGTAAACTTAAATTTAAACCAAATACCGCACCAGACGCCCAAAGAACACAGAGACGAGACGGGGAAGATTTTGAAGCATAACTTGCCATCCCCGCACAGGAATCGAAAACAACAGAGTGCAAACTCTCGAGGAATTCTGGGTAAATTGTAAGATCCCCGAAATGAACTATAAGGAGGAATGCCTCATAATCACGCTCGATCTTGCACAGTATTTGAGACTGACATTTCAGTGTGAAAGGCAGATAAACTTCCATTTGAGTTCTGTGAAATTGGTTTTCACGTGAAATACTCAGTGAAAGACTTGCAGAGGTGGTGAGTGTGCGGTGAACCTATTTTGTTATGTGATTGAAACCTTGGTTCCTCTGTTCGGTTGTGGAGCTATTTGGCTAGAGGTAGATTGACTTGCTGACAATCGGCTTGATCTTTCCAGGCTCTGAAGAAGGCGATATGCGCCAAAACGTCAGCTTACTCATGAGTAAAGAATAAACTAACAACGTCGTCCTTTTTGATAAACAAAACAGTAAATCTACATTGTCTTCTTTTTTCGTTTTCCTGCATTCGAGCTTCACCGCTGTTCGACACTTAACGATCTCATAACTAACTTGTTACTAGCCATTTTTTATTTTTTATTATTAAAATCTTTTGTTGGCTTTTAAATTAAAGAGGAACGAAGAGGATAGTGCAGTAATTAAGGATCCCATCGACAAAGAAGCAACAGCGCTAGCTCGATCCCTGCTCCGGCTCTCTACTCAAATCCACGTGATAACGATGTATCCTGGCAATCTCCAAGATTGCAAAAAGAATTGACTTGAGCAATATTCTACGACTTTCATGAAGAAGACGAAATTCTCAAGCAGCAGCTGAAACAACAGGCGATATTTTCGAAAAACATTGTGGAAGATGAGTGCAAGGAAAAACGAATCGAGTGCAAGAACTGGTGGGATCCGCACAGTAGATGTGATGAAGATTCATAAAAATAACTGAAAAAGACCAAATGACAGTAGGAAACAACTCTTAACTCGATGCTTCTCGTTTTCGGATTCCTACACTACTTATTCATGGGTGCGTGTGGCGCAGTAGTTGGAGGCGCCACTGAAACACACACGTGGAATTGATCCTTGTGCCCATGGCCCACCAAGTCTACCATCCCTCTGAGGTCGGAAAATTGGTACCACACTTGTCTGAGAGGATATCAGCACTGGCTCGATACATCGGTAGGGCACCACGAGTGATTATAAAGGCCAGCTATTCATTCAGTCACCTTCAAACGATGCTTAATGAAGTCGAATGCATGGCGCATCCCTCAGGGATTGATCAACGCCGAGAGCTTTATCCTTCACCCTTTACACTACTTACTCATCTGCCAAGGCCACATCTGCACTGCATTTGACTCGGAGCGGATGTTGACTTTGGAATGGTAGTGCCATGATGACTTACTTTCGAAGTTCCGGACACCGACACTAGCTTCGATGAAATTTTTTGCAGCATATGTATTGCAATGGCGACTATTTATTTACTGCCCAGTACAGTTTTTCGTGAAAGGGTATTATTGTAAAATGCAACCACAACGATACAGAGATATTTGTACAACTCCGGACTGCAGATATCTGCGATGGGATCGAATTCGATATTACCCTTTCCAGGGTGGTAATGTTTTTACCAACACACCTTGCAGGTCCTTCGCTTCGCCTTTCTCTCAGGTTTTTTTTTATCTAATAGTTTCATCAGCATGTATTCTTTCTTTGATGAGCTTACACGAGGTTGATAATGATATTTATTTTCGGCTAACGTTTCGACGTCTTCGCCCTCCTCAGAGCCGACGACCCGAGTCGATGGTCCATGATTGTTGTTCGTCTCGACGTTGCAGCTTCGCCTTCGTGTCGAGCCAGGTCTTCCTCAGTGAGCCATCTTCTTGAATGAGGCATCCTCACTCAGTGATGCTCTTTTATACACGATGCTGATGGTGGATATATAGTGATAATGACCGGTGATAACAACTGTTTTTCTTCCTGTCATATATCATTGTGCACATCGTGCAAAAGTCCGTGTTGTTATCAGCTAGCACAAAGCATAGTAATATTTTCAGCAAATAGTTTAGTTTCATCAGTTTCAATAGTAATAGTTTCATCAGCAATCATCGGTAAACGTTGTGTTATATTTTTGTGTACATAAGCATCCTTTCATCGTCGTGGTTCCCACCCTAACGACGCACTACTATAGGCCGGCCGATCAAGCGTTGTGTGGCCAAGTCAAGATTGTTCGCAGGAGCGACATCATCGTTTAAGCGCGGTCATCATATTGAAGGAATGAATGATACTCCGGGCTTTTCATCATCGGCGTCTACCAGTCTAATTCAACATCAAACACCTGCTTCCGATGTGCGGGTGCTAGTTCGTTTCCACTTACCGGTAGGAAAATGAGTGGGTTCTAACAAAGATTGCACGACTGAGAGATTTTCACAAATTCCCTTCACAGTTTCGTTCACTGCATCTCGGACTAGTTCAAGTGGCTTCCGCGACTTTTCTGGTATAAGCGGTTTTACCGATTTAGACTGAAGATGACAGGAAATATGTCAGTGATCGAAGTAGGCTTGATTTGAAGTTTATAACCGTTTCCTAAAAGTGCTATTGCATAGAAGAACGTAGCTGCCACCACTCGTGAAAAACCACTGGATAGTCATTTGATAAGTATACCTGACGGTGACTGAGGGCACATTAAAGAATGTTCGTCACCAAGGTGCCACTGTACGTAAAGGCACAAGAACCAACAGCCTCTTGCGAATGGTGGCCATCAGTGCTTGACGAGTGTGCCACGCTTCGCTTGTCACAAACTGCTATGCCTCTTGCTATCTGCCGATCTCAAAAGGTAAGTGCGCTCATGTCATCAGCGGTGTTAAATGTATTTTAGCAAAAAGCGTATGTTAACGGTTTCTCTTTATTAAAAAATCCAAAGAGATTCGATAAAAATGTCGCGCCTCGGCATTGTCATGAATCCTCAATTCGTTGCTGATCGGAAATCAGTACGAAAGAAAGTTGAAGCTCATCAAAAATCTACGTGAGACTCGATAGAGTAATGGTTTCTGTTGGACCTCAATGTATCTAAAGAGACAGGCATCTACTGTTCATGCGCTTTTCTAGTAATTCGTTTGCCACCTCAAATGGAAAACTAATCTAAGTTACTGGGTTCACAAATCGATTCACTACCGTTGATGTTGTAGCCCAGCTGTTTCAGTTCTCATCCACTGTTTGAAATCTGAAACAACTGAATAAAACTCGAGAAACCAGAAAAACTATGTGCGAGGAGCGGTCGAGTGATGGCCTTGAGAATGCTGATGGAGCCGACAGTGAGCAACTGTGGGGAGATGCCACCGTGCATGCACAGGATCCTGTCCGATATCACCACCGACAATGGCATCATCGCGAACACTTCCTAACGCGAACGGTCTGTTCCATGCGCCATTTAGTGGCATTTTTATTCGATTATACTTTACACTTAGATTTATTGCACCTTTCGAACCTCTTTCTTTACGAACTATCGATATTTCGTCGGAGGTCTCATGGTTCAGATAGCCTTCCATGCACATATATTCCTCTTCAGGGAATCTTGCTGCCAATTTATAACAACAATGTGTTTGCTGCTGTGTCTTCATCCAAAAAATAAACAGACCTGAAAAGTATTGAAGAGTCGGGGAGTTCCAAAACGACGAACAATGTCCTCGTAGAAGCCGTAGATTCTGTTCACAATAGTCGTTTCGTGATTTCCACGAAGCAGCAGGAAGTTTTCGGGAAATTTAAGCTGAAACTGATTTGTGGAGACAGGCTAAATTTGGAACGAATCTATCACAACAGCTATATACGAGAATTTTTCGTAGAATTGAGTTCTGATACTCAGCCTTGTGATAACTATATCTTCAACGATTTCACCTTCAAAGAGAATAAAAGCAGCATCGTTTCAAGGCTCCACCGACCTCGGTCGATGTAGTCACCAAGGAACAAGTAGTTCACGGTTGGAGGCCATCCAATCTAGAATAGTTTCTGCTCACCAGCTGCATGAGTGTCATCCGTTCTTCGACTACTTCTCACTCAATTCTGAGTCCAGTTATTGATAGAAACGCCTAATTTATTGTCACTGTTTGCTCTCAAGTGATCCTGTTTGATCACTTACCTACACCACCTTACGTTATCACTAATCAGTTTTATGTTAGTACTTTCAAACAGGTAAGAGTTATTCGGTAAATGAATATGAACTCTGGTAGGTAGCTACCAAGTCAAATATCCTAAAAAGATCGCTTAGTTGTCCGTGAATATCCCCGCAGACGTTTATCGGTGCTGTGCATTCAAGCATCATCGGTTGTGCAGCGAATACTTCCTTCGCCATAATAATCAAAGACGTCATTTCCTGAAACCAACATAATTATTATCATATGTCTTATGGCTATGATGAAGACGAAGTAGGAAAACATTCCTTATCAGAAAAGCACGGAATTGGTTCGTCCTTCCATAAATCTGGCTCTGTTTTTATTACCAGAAAAATCACTTTTTCATCAGATCGCCTAGGAAATATTTCGATACCTTCGTTCTTCCACATTTTTTAAGAACCTTTTTCAAGAACAGGCTTACGTCGCAGATATCGAACTATTTCCTCTCGATGGTTGCCCTGATGATTATAGTCGGTGTTGATAGCACTCGTTCTGTCGCTGTCAAAAGCTCCGTCATTGAGCGAAGTTAATTTTTTCACAAGAATAAGTAAATACAAGTCAGTAGGCGAACCAGTTGATCACCAAGTGTCTTATACGGGAAGCAATTTAATAGAACTGCTTGAGATGCGTGGAATGGCACGTGATGAAGGGAACTGCCAACTCACATCCGAACTTGTCAAACAATACAGGAAGATAAAGAAGATTTTAAAGAGAGAAGAGCAACAGCTATGGCCGAAGCCGTAGATGACGGAAGGAGCAAGCACGAAGCACACCGAGGCTTCGCCAATTACAAAACCACAGCAATTACACTCGAACGCCTAGACGGAACAGTTACAACTTGCAGAAGGGCGATGGAAAAAATTATTCACGATTAATACTCAGATCTCTTCAATAGTCTTATCTGATTTATGTAAAAAATGGACGCTGCTGTTAAATAGATTCGAGTAGAAGTGAATGACCTTCACTTTTGCTCTTCCACTACTTGAATGATCCGCACGACGGTGGCAAAAGTATTAATGGCACAGTTGGCAAACACAGTGGTATACTTCTCCCCAACTGGCTTAACTAGACCTATCGCTCTTCTGTCCTTAAGAGCTTGCTATTTAATGCTTTGTAACTCTCATCGTAAGTAAAAGGCTGCAGCCCATGCAACTGCGCTGACAAATCAAGTGAAAGGCTTTCGAAATTACACTTATCCATAGATTCAAACACTGTTTTCCTAGCAACCTCGTGAAAGCATCATAAAAATTGGGTCGTATTTCCTATTCATACCGCTGATAATAGTGGCTAGACAGAGGCCAACAAAAGCAGCAAAAGAAATCACAATTCGCAGCGTTTTGAACACCTTTTCTTTAATCCTGCCTCCTCTTCCTCTGCCATAAAGGGAGGGATCGTTTGTAAACGAAATTATAGCCTAATTCGATATGAGACGCTGAGACAATCGCTTTCGAATAATTTCGCTAAATAGAACCCTGGTATTCTCCACTGATTGACGTTCACATTCATCGGTGAGAGCAGCTCCCGCAATTGTGACTTACTATGATAGGTGCTGGCCACTGAAAAGCGTCTAATTTTAACATTCAACCAGATTTAATGACAAACAACAGAGCGCCAACTAGTTGATGCTCACCCAATGAGAAAACACTGTGAAAGTTGACGGAGACGAATGGTACAACTCTGCATAAAGATAAGTCCTTCAATCAATTATGCTCACGTAGGAGTTTATCAAGTGCTATTTATTTCATACATAGTCGGTTTGCAGCAGGTTGACCGTATAGATTAGCTAAAACTGGAAGGCAGTGTGTAAGTAGGAGCCTCTCATATTTTACGACAACCACCCTCAGCCGTAGTCGTCAAGGAACTACCTGTGAGCTGTTTTGCTTTCATACAGTACAAATACTCGCATCCATTTATTGTTCTATGAATTCTGTTTTAGTCATTGCAGTGGTTTTTTTTTACTGCAGGCTTTTTTCTTTTAACCCACAATGCTGCACTAACGGTGAAAGATCACTTGTGAAGTAGTGGCTCTGCAAAACTGCTCCAAGTCTAACTTTTCTCATTTTTATCGATCTAGCCCGGGGTCTAAGCTTTGTGAATATCTCACCATCGTTGCGATTGTATGTCATATCATATCCTGCCGTGGAAAATTATAGTGGACAGTAAATAGAAGGTTAACATTCTGAGTTTTCTTCAGGAAATAGCTGGCATCATCTTAATCTAAAAATAATCCATTCGAAATGAGCACAAACACTAGTGAGCGTTAAATATTTTTTCGTCATCTTCAGCCTAAAGACAAAATCATGCTATTGCAGAGGAAAGTACCATCACTGAGCCAAAGGCCAACGTGGACTCGATTCTACTTAGGCTGGTGAACGTTGGCAAACCAGGCACCGGTTGCACGACAACAATTCCTGAAACGGTGCGTCGCAGTCGGCATATATTTGTCGTTTCGAAGAGAAACCGATAAACCCGGTGGTGGTTTAAGTTCGCGAAAGTGCACGTGATAACACAGATATGGGTTGCCTCAGAGAACATCCGGAATTGTTTTCCAGTTCTGAATAAAAGAGTTACGACGATGAAAGCCTAACAAGCAACCACCGAAAGCAGTGATAGCACCCTGGTCACCACCGGCTCACCACCGTTTAAACGTCACATTGGTTGTTTCTTATGCAACTCTAATGAATTTGGGAAAGTTAGGTCGCGATAAACAAGGTTCCTAAAAAATGTGGAAGAACGAAGGTATCGAAATATTTCCTAGGCGATTTGATGAAAAAGTGGTTTTTCTCGTAATGAAAACAGAGCCAGATTTATGGAAGAACGAGCCAATTCCGTGCTTTTCTGATAAAGAATGTTTTCCTACTTCGACTTCATCATAGCCATAAGACATATGATAATAATTATGTTGGTTTCAGGAAATGACGTCTTTGATTATTATGGCGAAGGAAGTATTCGCTGCACAACCGATGATGCTTGAATGCACAGCACCGATAAACGTCTGCGGGGATATTCACGGACAACTAAGCGATCTTTTTAGGATATTTGACTTGGTAGCTACCTACCAGAGTTCATATTCATTTACCGAATAACTCTTACCTGTTTGGAAGTACTAACATAAAACTGATTAGTGATAACGTAAGGTGGTGTAGGTAAGTGATCAAACAGGATCACTTGAGAGCAAACAGTGACAATAAATTAGGCGTTTCTATCAATAACTGGACTCAGAATTGAGTGAGAAGTAGTCGAAGAACGGATGACACTCATGCAGCTGGTGAGCAGAAACTATTCCAGATTGGATGGCCTCCAACCGTGAACTACTTGTTCCTTGGTGACTACATCGACCGAGGTCGGTGGAGCCTTGAAACGATGCTACTTTTATTCTCTTTGAAGGTGAAATCGTTGAAGATATAGTTATCACAACGCTGAGTATCAGAACTCAATTCTACAAAAAATTCTCGTATATAGCTGTTGTGATAGATTCGTTCCAAATTTAGCCTGTCTCCACAAATCAGTTTCAGCTTAAATTTCCCGAAAACTTCCTGCTGCTTCGTGGAAATCACGAAACGACTATTGTGAACAGAATCTACGGCTTCTACGAGGACATTGTTCGTCGTTTTGGAACTCCCCGACTCTTCAATACTTTTCAGGTCTGTTTATTTTCTGGATGAAGACACAGCAGCAAACACACTGTTGTTATAAATTGGCAGCAAGACTCCCTGAAGAGGAATATACCTGCATGGAAGGCTATCCGAACCGTGAGACCTCCGACGAAATGTCGATAGTTCGTCAAGATAGAGGATTTGAAAGGCGGAATGAATGTTTAAGGTAGATAACTGAAGATGGTAAAGAACGGCGCACATGGTTAAAAAAATCAAAACTGAAACCTTTTTGAAAAATGAAAAACCAGGTCAAAAACCTTTATAAATTAGACCCTTGAGAGCTTCTATCCAGGAAGCTCTATAACATTGCTGCTTTAAGGGAGCGATTCGGAGAATAAATAAGCTTTCGTTTAATAACTTAAAAGACCGACTTTCTATCTTTCAGTTGGCACAACTGTGCGCATTTCTAAGTGTTAAGCTTAAGCATAATTGAATGAAAATTCCATTAAAAGGTGAGTGGAACAGACCGTTTGTGTTCAGGAAGTGTTCGCGATGATGCCGTTGTCGGCGGTGATATCGGACAGGATTCTATGCATGCACGGTGGTCTCTCCCCACAGTTGCTCACTGCCGACTCCATCAGCATCCTCAACGCCATCACACGACCGCTCGACGTACCTAGTTTTTTCTAGTTTTTCGAGTTTTATTTATTTGTTTCCGATTTCAAACAGTGGATGAGCACTGAAACATCTAGAGAGTTCCGGTGCAAACACATTGCCTGGAATAAGTCTGTCATATCATGACGAAGTAGAAGATCAGAAAAGATAAAGTGTTTCGCACTGATCCAACCTTTAGGAATTTTATATGCACCCAATTCCAGTAGGCTTTTTAGAAATGTATTTTTCACGTGCAATATAAAATCTGGAGCACTACCGCCTATATTGCAATGATTACCGGATATCTCCAGTTCGTACATTATCTCTGGTTCGATAGTCGCCCTGACATAAGGACTCCCTCCTTCCCTTAGATATCGGCAAACTGGCACCTTGATACATCCGTGTGCGTCCACAAGGTATTGTTCACGCCAACAAGGTTTGCGTTCAGTCACCTATGCTCAATGATGTCGAAAGCATTGTGAACCCAGCAAGGATTGATCGACATTGAATATTTTATGCCTCATGCTTCCATAAAACACTAGAAGCGGCAACTGATAGAGGATTTGCGACTGATTTTCTGTGCAAAAAGCCGAGCACTGATGCTTTTGCTTTTTCAGACCACATTTCGGTGCAGTAAGAGGTTGATGAGGTCGTCCTTATTTGATTATGATTCAATTCTTGTAACAGTTTTTTTTACTCCTATAGTGATTTAAAAAATAAGAGGTTGAAGGGCACGTGGTCCAAGAATCGTAGAGGTCGACGAGTGCACATTTGTACTATACAGTGGCGTGCAGTGGCCAACCGCCGTAACACATCGGTGTTGTTGTTCTATAGAAGAAATATGGCACTGTTTAGCAGATCGCAGATAGAAGGGATGACTGATTAGGCCATTTGCCAGGATCGAACTTCCGACATACTCACTGTGCAGTGATCGGCACGCCAACTATGGAAATTTAATTAAGGAAAAGTCTAAACTCTTGCTTAAATACTTTGCACCTTTCATTGAATTCGCATTTCGCCGTTAGTATTAAGGCAGTACTCTTTTAGCAACATACCTACTTACAGGATCCACCAAATCCCTCGTTACCGCTTGACTTGCTATGGGCTGATCCCGACATCAAAATCAAGCAGTTCAAATTCAGTATACGGTTGAGTATTATAATTCACTCTATCAAAGAATAGCGCCAACTGACAGTAAAACTCCTAAACAGATTTGCAGAGGTGTGAGTTGCACTTTCGGACCAGATGTTCTGCAAACCATACTCGACAAGTTCGGATTTGACTGCGTTGTGAGAGCTCACCAGGTATGTCACTTAGAAAACATCTCCATAAAGCAAAGGTTTGAAAGTTCTGCTCAAAAACTGAAGAGATTAGTGCATTCATTTCGAGGTAGTCGCATAAAGTGTGCATCGGGTGTGTCTAATTTTTATACTTCAAAAATACTATATACTTGCCCTAGAAAGTCTTTGAATACTCCGAAATTTTACTGGTACGTAGCATCAACGGCTGATTTGCGGATGCTTCTCATCTGGGCTCGCAGAAATCACCGTCAAGATAATTGAAATCTTACTCGTCCTTACATTTGGCAGGAATGAAAATATGACTTGAAAACTTATCCATGCCATGATATCTAATTACAGAACACTTCTGAAGAAATGTTCCACTGCCTGACAAATTCTGCTCTTCTTCTTCGACAACAATTCTTTCAAAAACGAAAATCACGTTTATAATATTATGATAATCCTATCCGGCACAGTTGAATTAGAATAAAACCCTAAGCACTACTCTGTTCTTCAACTAATTGGAGGGAGTAGAAATCAAATAATGCGGGTACCAACCACTGCAATAGGAGTTCACCAACAGTTCTTTGTTTCTGGAATAGAAAGCATAAAATAGTGAATGTTCTGTCGTTGTTTATTGCTGTCAGGCAGTATTCTTTGGAAATCATAGATCTGCATCACCTGAATGATCTCTACCCTGTTAGGTGTAGGCTGGTGCAGGCTATACTCTATCCTACTAGGTGTGAGCTGTGTCAAATGCTTCTAGATCACCAATAAGATGTCAGAAGCAGGCTGAGAAGGACCAAATGCCCAGCAATTGCCACTCAAAACACGTGAAATCACGAGTTGCATATCTCTACGCCTGTATCACTTATTATTAAGACCTTCCAAGCAATCCCTACATCCATTTATTAATTTCCTATCCTACAAGTCAATTCCATCCAAAGCTTGCGGGTCGTGGGTAGTACATCGGAGACGGTGCGATGTCACACTACTTGTTTTTGGTGACTGCACGCGTCTCTCATGACAGAATCTGTCGGCATACTTGTAGGTATTCCCTCACAAGTAGTAATGATGAGGATATGAAATCTTCGATGTTCTTCGTATCTCTCGAGCAGAATGGACCTATTAGGCGGCTCTACTACACAGTATAAACCAAAAGACGACTTGTTGGTTAGCGCTCAAGTCACCTCATGCTTAAGAAGGTTGCATGTAATGCCGATGTTTCTGAATCTCGAAGAAAGCAGTGATTGGATGTTTAAAAAGAGCGAGAAGAGGACGATGGACGCTTCCGTACTTTCTTAAATCATATGGCCAATGTCGACACTGCTTTCCATCATCTCCATTTCTTATACCTTATCATCAACTCTGTCTAAATGACTACTTTTAACTGAGAATGTTAGAGATGTACATGAAGAGCTACGCAGAAATACTCAGTGTTGAACAACTGCTATGAAGTTCACATTAGATTACCTAAAATATTGATGTGTTGTTCTCTCTTCAGGTGGTACAAGATGGCTATGAGTTCTTTTCAAATAGAAAGCTCATAACCCTTTTTTCCGCACCGCACTACTGTGGACAATTCGATAACGCTGCAGCGGTGATGAATATCAACAAAGATCTGCTGTGCTCATTTAAGGTAGCAGCGAACTTTTTAGCACATCCGTAGGCTCTCCGTTTTCTATTTGGTTTTATTAGAGTAATATACGAAATGCTGGATATCTAGACCCTAATGTAGCTCATACCACCGCACTATATTAAGGTTGGGAATAAAGTCTTGCAACATTCGACGTAAACTTTCCAAAATCTACAGCGCTCTTCAATTTAGACTTGAGCAAAAAAATTTGTTTCTATAATACGATCACCATTCCAACGGTTTACCGCCTCATTGTGGCTTGGAGGTGCTCCTGGCTGTTGGGATGCGATGTACAGCGGAGGAGTTCTTTCCTCTGGCAGGGTCTCCCAATGTGAAGGAGTTCGGCGTTTCCATCAGGAAACCTAGCTAAGAGTAAACCAATACCAGGATCCACCGCTGTCCTGGTACCATAGTCGCATGGGGGCAAATCTTCCTTTGATCCACAAGGGCTGCGACTGCCTATGGTGGTGAAGACCATGGTCAGACTTTTCCCAGGCTGACCTCGGGACTACAGGAAACCACAATGGCTTAACCAGCAAATTTCCGAAAAATGAAGATTATGCTGGGCCTCGTACAAGCAGTGAGGGGGGTCATGCAAGTATCAAGTAGGTAGTATGATTACAACACTTATCTCCCTGAAGGCATTGATGCTAAAAAAAATCCAGTCTACCGTTTTAAGAGAAGCGTTCGATGCTAAGTTGAGCTTGGTCGTCCTTGATTCACAGATGAATTGCGAAAATTCGGAGCTAGCCACGATATTAATAAATAGTATTTACTAAATATAACAAATTGTTTTTTATAAAAAAATAAAAAATGACTGGAAAAGTGATTCAAAGAAGTATACATTGTTATTTCAAAGGTAGGCCACTTGAAAATATTAGGTTGGAAACGATGTTCTATTGTAATACCTAAAACTGGATTAGCTCAAGGATCCGTGAATTAATGAAGGAACTTGAGAGGCGGATAGTACAGTGGTAGTGATGCTCGTCATTACGAACATGGTGCTAGATAGATTCCACTCCGCGCCAACCAAGCCTCTCATCCCTCCGAGGTCGAAAAATTGGTACCGAATTACTCTGGGAGAAAATCACTCTCTATAATCCAATTGGAGACGCTCCAACATGGCAATCTCAGGATTCAAATCAGGGAGAATTGCCGAACCAGCATTCTACCGCATTTAAGATGAAATGAAAACCCTGAAGCAGCAACCGAAGCCACACGTAAAAGTTGCAACTTCTTCGTGGACAGTGGATGCGAGAAAATGAACTGGATGTAAGAAGTGCTGTGATCCACACATTCAGTGTGAAGAAGGGTCAAATAGAATAAAATAAAACAAAATAAATGAATAGGGCAGGAAATCTCACTCGAGTGTTTCATCAGTAGTGTTGTCTGCAGGAGCATCGTTTTATAGAGGAACTCTATTGTGATGGATTTTCTCTTTTATTGACGTGGATCAACTTCGGAGACGTAATGATTGCCGTTGTAACGGCATCAGTTGCCTGGTTTCAATAGTACAATACGTGTCCCAAATTGCATCAACATCAAACAACTATCTTCTTCTCGTTATTAGCTTGGATTCGGTTTATACCACAGCATATCTTCCTCTCGAGATTATGCATTATTGTGAGCATGGTTGTCGCACAGAACTCGGGCTTCATCACCACTAAGAATTTTCTGCAGAAAGTCTCTATGAGGGAAATAGGAGCTTTATTTTAGAGACATTAACATGAATTGTCTGGAGATTTTTGAGCTGATTAATTCCAGAAATTCTTTCGATAAAGAAAAATGTTCAGATGGTTGTTGGAGGTCACCTGGGTCATCCCATGTTTCTCCACAAATTCACGAGTCTCTAATCTAATCCGAGTTTAAGAATTTTATTAGAACATCGCTTGCAAGCTGATATTTTCAATTAGTCCACCTTTAAAGTATTCTGCTCTTTTGAATCCTTTTTTTATCATTTGTACTCGTCCTAATCCGAAATTATGGAACCATAACCAATCCTTAAGTAGATTCTGGTTTTATTGCTTGTATAGAATGTGATAGATGGCAGTTCCACATCAATGAAGATTACGCGTTGGTGAGAGAAAATATTAAAGACACACTTAAATATATTTCTACAATACATCCAAAAGTTGCTCGCATGGTAGGTAGTAATGGACCTTGGTGTTCACCTCGTTAAGTTTCTTAATTTTTCTAGATTCTCCGCCCACAGTTTCCAAATCGAACAGCGAAAGTTTCTGAGCCCAGAGAAGTGACCGTGTACGGTAAAATACCGAGTAGCTGAAGAACAAAACACATCAAGGGATACGAATTGAACTTTTCTCAATTATTGACTATGGAGGACTGAAAAGCATCGTAACGTCGAAATAAACGTGTTGAACAGAGAACAGTGAACCTTGTGTTCAAAAAAGTTGAGCACGCGCTTCGTTGCTCTGTCATTTATCATTTCTGTTCGATTTTTTTAGTGAGTTGAGGCGATGTCGTAAAAAATAGCCAGATGGGAAGAGGTAAAAACTACTCCTAATACTCCTACTACGAAATATTTTACTCTACTCTTACTACTATACAACGAAAATATGATAGTGATGGCGACGATCAAAAGCACTTCCACGGACGAAACGGCGACCCAACCGCTTCTGTGTGATTACCACTAAGGGGAATGCTCATGAGAGCACATGGAGCAGCGATGAGAATCGTACTCAACGATTATAGCTAACACCGGCTCCGGACAAACCGTGCTTCTTCCTTTCTCAATATGGGAGAAGAACAGATTTCAGGCCCTCACTTCAGCATTGTCGGAACTCTCTCCTCTCGACAGTACACCTCCATAATAAATACTGTGGCTCAAACTGCATCCAACTGAGTGATCTTCCCTCATATTCATTCCGTGAGGACTATTGCACAGATCGTACGAAATCGTACAAACTTGGATTACCATTTTCAAGCGATGTTGGTGTTCCATCACGCGAATTCTAATCTTTCATTTTGTTTAATTCCACAGTTAGTAGTTATTGACGAGTACACAGATAACGCTATTTTCCTTGGAGTTTTCTTCATTTCATTTAACACATGTGAGTATGTCTCCTCACAAAGCTGACATGTTTTCTTTCATACGCGGCCTATTGGTGGATTTTAGACTGCATTAAAACGTTAATTAGCAGATTTCATATACATTTATACCCTGACTACATTCTTACAGCACCCATCTTCTCCTGCTTGGCAGTCCCACTGCGTTTTTACCTTTCAATAATGTTCCTTTTAACAGTTCCAAATACCAACTTTTACTTACGTTTGAGACTGATCAACACGTTATTGCCTTCCTTCCAACTGTTCGTGATGAGCAGACACTTCAGCATCTCTTATTTCACGATGGAAAGTGCTTCGGCGAACTCCGCTGCAGATCTATTTCTCTATTGTCCACTTTCCAAGTAACTAAAACCACTTGGAGTGTTTATAATGGATGAGAGAAATTCTCCTTGTTGTCTACGAGCTAGTCCACCATTCGAGGCTGCACTTCAACCAGTGACGAAGCCGCTAATTCCGCAAGAGGCATGAAGGTGAAGGGGTTAAGTGCCAAAGATAGATCCAGTCAACGTAAGTTAATCACTCCAATGTGAGGAGTTTTTCGATTCTTCCTGCTTTAGAACAGTGACTAGAATTCGCATTCAGCAAATTCGCGACTAAAGCCACTAGTGTGAGTTGTGTGAAACAGCGTATGGATCTTCGCTGTACAGAGTATGCATTGAGCTCAACATACATGATCCGCCGTGTGGGATAGAATGCACGAGCACGTCCATTTTTGTCTTTTTTCTCTCTTTCTCTGTTGTTCTGCAACTAGTCTTCGCTGTTGTTTCGCGACTAGTCCATATATTATTCGTGCTTTTTATGCCCTATGCGTCCACTACATTCCTGTGTGTATCATTCCATGTTTTTGAACATTTCTAACTGATCATGTGTTCTTTAACTCCAGTGCTATCAGGTCTTGGTAGGCCTCTTGAAGAACACTTTCTATTCGAAAAAATCCTGAATGCAGTAAAAATTCTACACCAATTAAAACATCTATTAAAGAAAAAGAATGAGAAAGTACGAAAGCGTCCATCGTCCTCTTCTCGCTCTTTTTAAACATCCAATCACTGCTTTCTTCGAGATTCAGAAACATCGGCATTACATGCAACCTTCTTAAGCATGAGGTGACTTGAGCGCTAACTAACAAGTCGTCCATTGGTTTATATTGTGTACTAGAGCCGCCTAGTAGGTCCATTCTGCTCAAGAGATACGAAGAACATCGAAGATTTCGTATGTTCATCATTACTACTTGTTTAAGTGAGGGAATACCCACGAGTATGCCGACAGGTTCTACTATGAGAGAAGCGTGTAGTCACAAGAACAAACAGGTAGTGTGACCTCGCACCGTCTCCTACATACAACCGTACACTTGGTTGCCAGGCTTTTAATGGAACTGACTTGTAGGATAGAAAATTTATGAGAGGATGTAGGAATTGCATGGAAGACCTTAATATTAAGCGATACTGGCACAGAGATATGGAGAGCCGAGCCCTGAATTCACGTGTTTTAAGTGGCAATCATTGCGCATTTCGTCCTTTTCAGTCTGCTTGTAACCTCTTATTGGTCATCTACAAGCACTACACTCAGCTCACACTTAGCAGGGTAGGAATCATTCAGGTGTTGAAGAGCTAAGATTTCCAAAGAATACTGCCTGACAGCAATATACAACGATCGTACATCCACTAAACGGGGAGGTATTGGTGTTTTGCGTAGTGGTTACAAATAAAAACGAATCTTTTTGAGCTTCACAAAAACATGTTACGCTTTATATTCCAGAAACGAAGAGCTATTGTAGTGCTTGGGATCTGGCATTATTTGATTTCTATTCCTTCCAATTAGATGAAAAAGAGAGCTGTGCTTAGGGTTTTATTCTAATTTAACTTTGCCGGATAGGATTATCATAATGTCATAAACGTGAGATCAGTTTTTCAAGGAATTGTTGTCGAAGAAGAAGAGAACAATTTAGCAGGCAGTGGAGAATTTCTTGAGAAGTTTTCTGTATTTAGATATCATGGCATGGATAAGTTTTCAAGTCATATTTCCATTCCTGCCATATCTAAGGACGAGTAAGACTTCAGTTATCTTAACGGTGATTTCCACGAGCCCAGATGAGACTTCGATTTCATACCCAGATCTAAAGCATCCACAAATAAACCGTTTGTGTTACGTACCAGTAAAATTTCAAAGTATTCAAAGGCTTTCTAGAGCAAATATGTAGTATTTCTAGAGCACAAAAATTAGACACACCCGATGCACATTTTGTGCGACTACCTTGAAAAGAATTCACTAATCGCTTGAGATTTTAGGCAAAAGTTTCAAGCCCTTGCTCTATGGAAATGTTTTCTAAGTGTCATAACTGGTGAGCTCTCACAACGCAGTCAAATCCGAACTTGTCGATTATGGTTTGCAGAACATCTGGTCCGAAAGTGCAACTCACACCTCTGCAAATCTGTTTAGGAGTTTATTGTCAATTGGCGCTATTCTTTGATAGAGTGAAATACAATACTCAACCGTATACTGAATTTGAACTGCTTGATTTTGATGTCGGGATCAGCCCATAGCAAGTCAAGCGGTAACGAGGGATTTGGTGGATCCTGTAAGTAGGTATGTTGCTAAAAGAGTACTGGCTTAATACTAACGGCGAAATGCGAATTCAATGAAAGGTGCAAAGTATTTAAGCAGGATTTTAGGCTTTTTCCTTAATCATATTATCGCAGTTGGCGTGCCGATCACTGCACAAAGAGTCGGTCGTAAGTTTGATCCTGGACTATGGTCTAATCAGTCATCCCTTCTATCTGCTGCTGATTAGTGCCAGATTTGTTCTATAGAACAGCAACACCGATTTGTTACGTCGGTTGTCCACTGCACGCCACTGTATAGTACAGATGTGCACACGTTCACCTCTACGATTCTTGGACACCGAGCCCTTCATCCTTTTATTTTTTTAAATCCTAGAGGAGTAATAGGGACGACCTCATCAACCTCTTGCTGTACTTAAATGTGCTCTGAAAAAGTAAAGCATCAGTACTCAGCTCTTTGCTTAGAAAATCAGCCGCAAATTCTCTATCTGTTGCTGCTTCTAGTGTTTTATGGAAGCATGAGCCATAAAATATTCAACGTCGAACAATCCTTGCTAGGTTCACAATGCTGTCGGCATCATTGATCATCGCAGAGGTGACTGAACGTAAATCTTGCTGCCGTGAGTAATATCTTGTGGACGCACACGGATGTGTAAACTCAGTGTCGGCGTTATTCCAGCGACGTCTGGTGCCAATTTGCCGATCGCTAAGGGAAGGAGGACGTGGTTATGTCAGAGCGAGAATCGAACCAGAGATAATGTACGAACTGGAGATATCCAAGAATTACTGCACTACACGCGGTAGACACCTCTAAGATACCTACTGGAGTTGGGTGCATATACAGTTCCTAAAGTTTGGATCAGTGCGAAACACTTCACCATTTCTGATCTTCTAATTCATCATGAAATGACAGACTTGTTCGAGGCAAAGTGTTTGCAGCGGAACTCTCTAGCTGTTTCAGTGCTCATCCACAGTTTGAAATAGGAAACAACTGAATGAAACTCGAAAAACCAGGAAAAACTAAGTACGTCGAGCGGTCGCGTGATGGCGATGAGGATGCTGATGGAGTCAGCAGTGAGCAACTGTGGGGAGAGGCCACCATGCATGCACAGGATCCCGTGCGATATCACCCCCAACAACGGCATCATCGCGAACACTTCCTGAGCATAAACGGTCTGTTCCATTCACCTTTAAGTGGCATTTTTATTCAATTATACTTGAGCTTTACACCTAAAATTATGCGTAATTAAACGGAAGTGTGGAAAGTGGGTCTTTTGAGTTACTGAACGATGGTTCATTCAATGATGCTGAGATATTTGCAAAACTCCGGACCGCAGGTGTCTGCCAGGGGAAAAGAACGCGCTATTGTCCTCTCCGGAGAGTAGCGCGTTCACCACCACACCATGCGGGTCCTTCGTATCGCCTATTTCTCAGCTAGTTCTATCGACCTTTCGCCATCAACAATAACCCGTCAGCGGAATTGATCTGGAGAACCCAAATCGGCAACAAACCCAGTTAAGTTGAGGCTGCATTATTGCGAGCATGGTTGTCGTACAGGACTCGGGCTTCATCACCACTAAGAATTTTCTGCAGAAAGTCCTCCCTATGAGGGAAATAGGAGCTTTATTTTAGAGACATTAACATGAATTGTCTGGAGATTTTTGAGCTGATTAATTCCAGAAATTCTTTCGATAAAGAAGAATGTTCAGATGGTTGTTGGAGGTTACCTGGGTCATCCCATGTTTCTCCACAAATTCACGAGTCTCCAAGCTAAACCGAATCTAAGAATTTTATTAGAACATCGCTTGCAAGCTGATATTTTCAATTAGTCCACCTTTAAAGTATTCTGCTCTTTTGAATCCTTTTTTTATCACTTGTACTCGTCCTAATCCGAAATTATGGAACCATAACCAATCCTTAAGTAGATTCTGGTTTTATTGCTTGTATAGAATGTGATAGATGGCAGTTCCACATCAATGAAGATTACGCGTTGGTGAGAGAAAATATTAAAGACACACTTAAATATATTTCTACAATACATCCAAAAGTTGCTCGCATGGTAGGTAGTAATGGACCTTGGTGTTCACCTCGTTAAGTTTCTTAATTTTTCTAGATTCTCCGCCCACAGTTTCCAAATCGAACAGCGAAAGTTTCTGAGCCCAGAGAAGTGACCGTGTNCGCCGTGTGGGATAGAATGCACGAGCACGTCCATTTTTGTCTTTTTTCTCTCTTTCTCTGTTGTTCTGCAACTAGTCTTCGCTGTTGTTTCGCGACTAGTCCATATATTATTCGTGCTTTTTATGCCCTATGCGTCCACTACATTCCTGTGTGTATCATTCCATGTTTTTGAACATTTCTAACTGATCATGTGTTCTTTAACTCCAGTGCTATCAGGTCTTGGTAGGCCTCTTGAAGAACACTTTCTATTCGAAAAAATCCTGAATGCAGTAAAAATTCTACACCAATTAAAACATCTATTAAAGAAAAAGAATTAAATGAGACAGCGACTATTAAAATTGATTTAATTCTAGAAATAGCAATAAAAGAGAACAGAAGAAAGTAGTGATATTCAGATATGGTGCACTATGAGTGTTAGAGAAGTAGAGAGCACTTATCGAAAAGGATGATTGCATTTGCTTAACAATACATGGATTACCTGTATCCTGGATTAACTCACATCTCCGTTCAGGTCCACACTTCCTGCCGGCAGTGGCTAATGAAGTCGACTGTAAGCCAGCCCACAAAGTGCGGTATTACTACGGCGATCTGTCAAGATACTGCTTCATTTCCAGTTTCGATAATATAATAGTAGAATAGATGCGTGCAGACACTTGTTAGCGATGTCTTTATCGCACTCGTTGTCGTTTGCTCGACCCCTACTCCAGGCTAACAAGGCCTATCACCTATCCGAGGACGAAAAAATTGGTGTCAGAAAGTGATCTGCGAAAACCTCTCTCGAATCCACAAGTGGCAAATTGTGGTGAAGATATGCGAACTCACTACTCGGGCTATCCGAGGATTTCAAAAAGAACCAATTCGACCGGTGTTCAACGGAAATCATGAAGAAGTCAAAGTTTTCAAGAACTAGTCAAAACTCCCAAGCAAAACCGAAGACTTTCCTGGACTTTCCTGGATGTTTTTAGTGTGCTCTTTCTTCATTCCACCTATTTATGTTCTCCCCTAACTCGAAACTAATCCTCCATATTTGGCATTCATTCCTGACTCGATCGCAATGATTACAGGACAAGTGGATGTTTATACAAAATTCCACCACAATGAGTTTAGCCGACCACCATAACTTTACACTACTCTAGTAGAGAAGTGTTCATTAATTGCTTAATTAATAAAGATTATGCTAGTTCTGAGTAATGTTTAGGAAATGGTATGAAAGAAATAATGCAAAATATCATGGATCCTTCGACGATTTCCGCCTTTTTGACTTTGTTTTGGTAAGAGTAGCTGCGAGAGTCCGATGAAGAAATTGCTTGTTAGTGTTAAGACTCCTTGGTCGCAGCCTGAAATCCGAAAAACAAAACGCCTAATATAGTAAAAAGAAAAGATTTACAAAAAAAGGACCGCCTACCACCCTTGAGGTCCAACCAACTCTACCCGTTGTTTTGCTCTAGAAACTTCACGTAATATCGCTTCTCTTGCCTGAAGTTCTTCATATAGCTCAGCCCTAATTAATGTTGACGACCGTGAAACTAATGCATATTGACTGGCTATTCTGGTGTTTTGACGTCGCCTTTCAATACACATCAATCACAATTGCCAGGTATCATGACCACTGCCTCAGAACAATATCTCTCCGACTTCTCTACTGGTATTATAAATATCTGGAAAAGTAACACCATCGACTGGAACTCACTTTCTTCTTTTCCTCTTCGTGCTTTAGTTTCTCTTGCTCGTTCACTTCTTCAAGTTTAGTACCTTCCGATGACGGACCTGGGCTGGAATCCACCGAGTTCTGCATCACTGCTGCGATCTTTCTTTTTCGATTCAACAAAGAACACATTCGAGCGTGCTTGCTGTCGGAATGACTCATCTCACAATGCAATCCAATCTGAGAGCAAGATACATGAACGTCTAAACCAAGTATTGTATACAGTTAGGCAAAACTCAGGCAAACTAAATGCCGTGGCAACTCGATCCCGTTGCTAATCAACACTGTTCTAAAGCACACCACATGAACATACTAGCGAATAAATAAAGAGCAACTGGTTTGGTGTTGATCAATCCACGAAGGATGAACCATCCATTCGACTTCATTAAGCAATCACAGGTGATTGAATGAACAACTGGACCACACAAAGACTTGTGGTGCCCTGCCGATATCTGAGATTGGTATTACTATGCTCTCAGACAAGTTTGCCAGCTCACGGAGGAACGAAAGCTTCGTAAGTCCTGTGTGTAAGAACAAATCAAAGACCCTGAGTGTATTGCAGAACATCTCCAACCACTACGCTACGTGCCCCCATTAGTTCACAAATAGATAGCCGAACGAGAGGCAACGAATTCAACGTATTAAATTTTAGGTCAGTGAATAAACACATTTAAGCATAATTGGAGCAACACCGTTCATCCGCCATGAAGTTCTTCATACATAGAGCATCGTTGAAATTTTTAAATATTTATATCCACACGAACTGTTTTTTTAAAAAAAACCATCAAGATATCAGCTGTGATTATGACTTAGAAGTGTACACGGTCACAAAGCGCCCTACAATTACAAGGAAAGAATGGCAAGTTTCGAATAGATTACACTGCTGGCACATTTCTGAGTGTTGAACCGAACATCGAAAAACGATGCTTACCTTAAATTACGAACGAACACAACATCAATGACAATAAGACAGAAAGCACAAAAGGAATCTCTACATGAAGTGAATTAATGTGAATAGCATTTTCAAAATACCTCGTACTGAGTTCGACAGAAGTGAAGACGTGCAAAACTAGTTAGGCAAATGATAAAAAAGGGACGGAGACTGATAATGAACTTAGTAGAAAAAAAACGTACAAGACACTGTACGGAGGCAAGGCGGAATTGGTCAGTTGATGAGACGGTAGACCAGCTACAGATGATGATTAGACAATGAGCATACTCAGTAATTGGCAGAAAGCACCGATTAGTTAGCAAATTACAGAACAACTAATTAACTAGCCAGCACATAGTCGCATGTGTTAAGGAACTACTAACTACCTTTGTGCCACCTTAGATCATACAGTGATAGATAGAAGCAAAGGCTCTTCACACGTGCTTAACTGGTTTGCACTCCAGATTATAAAGCAGTGATGAAACACCTCAAAACAATCGAATTTTCATGTAGCGAAAACTTCCCCGTCCTATTCTGAGTATGAAGACAATAAAGACCTCAATTAGACGAATATTCCTACTAGTAACTTCGTAACACCAGCAACAGACAGGTGCTTCTATCTAAATATTCGATATAACAACTAGCAAAACCTCTAGCTTGCACCAATGGATATTTGCAGACGGATATCAACTACATACACGTTCAAAGCAAAATCGTTTTCTAGGAAATTTTCAGGAGTTTGTTTCGCAAGCTTCTTCGACTACTCCCGAATCAAGGGAGTTGAATGATAGACGTCGAAATGTTGGCATCAACCCAGGACAGCTAAGAACCGAGTTTCCCGGACGTGTAAAAAGGCTATCCGTTCCATCGAGTTCTGGCAGTCCACTATCACGTTGATTATCATTACGAAGACTGTGTCTTTCCATTTCCAATTCTAGTCTAACTTCCTCCATCTGACAGGATTCACGAATTGACTCAACGACATCGGCAACAAATCGACATCTGAAACGATAGTTGGTTTAGGGTCGCCTTATTGAATTATCAAAAATTTGTGCTCTCCCATAAAAACAAATAGAATTTCCATGTAGTTTTAATATAAAATAGCAGATTGGTTTATACATGAGACGAACACATTTATTTCATAAATGCCTCATCGAGGACGCATCCTTCTCTGTGAGATATCCGTTGTTTTTCTCCATTGTCACTAACATAAAAATACTAAGAGTCTTACACGCCTACCAAAAACTATTTTGTAGAATTTCGCCTCTGCCTTATTTAAACATTCACGACTGTACCTGTAACTACGGACAAACATTTCATTGTAATTTCAGCTACAGCCTCAACTTAACTGGGTCCAATGCCGATTTGGGCTCCCCAGATCAATCCCGTTGACGGGTGACTGCTAATGACACTGATCGATAGAACTAGCTGAGAGAAAGGCGAAACGAAGGACCTGCATTGTGTGGTGGTGAACGCGTTACTCCCCGGAAAGGACAATGGAGCGTTCGTTCCCCACCGCAGACCTACGGTCCGGAGTTTTGCAAACATCTCAGCAATCTTGTGGTTGTATTTCGCTTAATACCCTGCCAAAAAATAGTAGAAGGCAGAAAATAAAACGTAAACACGATTGAAAGATTTTTATAACTACAATGCTTTGAGAGATCAGAACTTTAGAGATTTAGAAATGTTACTATGTCATATCGCTCTAAGGATTAAAAAGGATAAAACTCTCAACATTTAACAATTCCTGAGAGATACGCCGACTTCAATAAGCATCGTTGGAGATGACTGAATGCAAATCCGTCCTTTACAATGACAATGACTCACAGTGGTCTACCGATGAATCGAACCAGTGCTATCATCCTCCCAGACAAGTCTGTTAACAATTCGCCAAATCCGTAGGGATGAAAGCCAAATAAGCAGACCATATTGAGCGGCCGCAATAGATCAACATCCGTCCTGCACAAAAGAACATTGCCGAGTAAAATTCTTCATTCGAGCGGTGCTCCACTTCAATGGATTTTATTGTAACGACAACGAACACCTACAACGCGTCGATGACCGCCTGTGGATCATCGACCTGGATCAACCCGGCGCCGAATAGACGAAGATGTCAAAATGTTAACCAAATAAATCTCATAACATTCGTGTTAGCCTAATATAAACTAAGAAAGCAATAGTTTTCAAACCGACAGTCATTTAACCTATGTAGAAATAACCAATATCTTCCTGGATTGATAAGTTAACACGAAACTGACAAATAGCTTTCTTCGGGTGACGTTTCCACGTCTTGATTTCTATCAGAGCCGATGATTCGAGTCAATGGTCCACGGTCGTTCCTAATCTCGATGTAACGTCTTCGTCAGCGTACTGAAACGGATCTCCTTCAGTCGAACGCCGCTCGAATGAAACAAGCTCACCAGGCAGCACCTTTTGTGACTGTTCTCGATAAGACCACCTGTTGATAATAATTTGTTTTTCAATGGATAATCCATCCAGCAGCAATCGGTATTACGTTGGCTAGCACACAGCGAGTAGCAAAGAACGAAGACGTCGAAACGTTAGCCGAGTAAATCTATTTACCAACTTCGTGTTAGCTTAACAATCCAGGAAGATACTGATTATCACTACCGACGTTAAATGACGGTCGGTTTTAAAATTACTGTTTTGCTCTTCGCTATATGCTAGCTAGCATAATACTGACTGCTGCAGGATGGATTAGTATCTGTTGAGAAACAGATTGTTGTCAACGAATAGTCGTACTAACAACAGTAATCCTATAAAAAAGAGCACAGTCGAGTTAGCATGCCTCATTCGTGCGCTGTTGCACTGAGGAAGATCCGTCTCAGCACATACGACTACGAACACACCACACCGAAGAGACACAACTGTGGACCATCGACTTGGATCACCAGCTCTGATGAAGACGAAGACGTTAGTGGAATAAATCTATTTAGGAAAGCAGTGATTAGTCGTGAAGACTCTAAACGAAAATTGGTTCTTAAACTATACTTTAGATTTCTAGAATTTGAAACACAAATGCAGCAAACGTAAACACTAGCGATGCATTTATGGGAATCAATGTGCCCTATTGGACGAAATCCCACTTGTCAAATCGCTCCACGGTTTAAATACAAGTTTTGAGGGAAAAAGGCGAGAAGAGAACAGAACGTTGTGTAGACTCCAGAAAATCAGAACTTTTATCTTGCTAGAACAAACAAAGGAACAAAAGAAAAAATTATGCCGTTTTGGTGAACACCTATAGACTATACCACTTCTTCATTAGACTAATGATGGTCACTTCTATTATTGTTTAGAACTGAATGACGTTGCAGTTTTCGAGCAAGTACTGAACAAAATCGACACAGACGGTCACTATTGTACTAACAAGAAGCCTTCATATTCGTAATGACCTCCTGTAAAAATGAGCTTTGAGAAAAGTGAGATTCCTGCTGTTACCGTCCCTGTAAAAATCCTCTTTATCATATAATGAGCTTAAAGCAAACGCCTCACAATTTTGTGAAAAATACACCTTTGTAATGAATGATGGTAAACCTCTAAACCTCTTGTTTTACGTTTTACTACCCTGGTTTTCTTTTAAAGTTGGCCGAATACAATTTTTCAATCCATAAAGCGAAAAGATACTTTACCTAACAGAAGAAAAGCGGCTTGAACAACTGAGAGTATTTCTGACAGTTTTAAAGCATGAGTCCAAAGCAAAAACGTTTACAAGGCATGTTTTCGGGTGTTCCCGTGGCACACAGTTTGGCCTTCCGCAGTTCTTCAACATTCTATACGACACCATTAACAAAACCACACAATGCCAATGTTTTTACACGGGATTCAAACAATATCTGAGCAAATTTTATCCAATACAAACTCTTCTAGTGATAAAAATTAACACTATAAGGAAATCGGCTTCCATCCAGAACAGATTTCACTCAGGTTATCGAACAGTTTTCAATAAAACAATAATTTAACCCAATAGTGGAGAACAGGCTCGCATAAAGACAATCCGTGCAGAGCTATACATGTTAAATTCCAATGGACGAATTCATGTGGATCACCAAAGAATACGAATAAACTTCAAGAAATCAAAGAATTAGGAAAGATTACTCGAAATAACTGATGTGCAGGGATTAATTTAGCACTTACCTGTCATCGTAATTTCTTGCATTGAAATGTAATGGATTACTGTCTGGTGCTGGTGGCGTGATCGTCAAGCCGAACTCATACGAATTACTCTAGAAACGACCAAAACTGAAAGACTGGAAGCATTGAAAACTTGAACGGGACGAATATACCTTAAACTCATGAACGGATGCTCCTAATAGTGGCATCCAATGCTTTAGCGTATATGATGTACGAGATGAAGATCGGCGCTTGTTTATAGCCTTACCAATCTGAAAAACCAAAAACGAGATAAATCAGGAAGTTAGGATAAAAAAGTACCGGAAGAAAGGCAGAAAAGAAAACAGACCACTAGCATATCGTTGAACAAAAATACATCCCTTTCGTGACTTCCGGCAGATTGTTTTCGCAAAGGATCTAGAACCTGTTGCAGACGACAGTAGCAAACCAGACGCCTTTGTGTTTCAGTTAGTCGCTGAAATACAATGGGACTTTATAAAGATAACAAGGAATATATTTACAATTAAAAGCATGTAGCAGTGCCTCATAATATAAATAACATTCTTGTCAACTGATAACTCAAACTTTAAATTAAAAGTCCTATGTTACATGTTACGTTAGGGCACGCGCAGAGCAGTGGCCATGCAACACACACATGGGATCGATCCCCGCGCCCTAAGTCCACCAAGCCTTCCATCCCTTCGGGGTCGGCAAATTGGTAGGTGACTTCCACGACCGACTTTCTATTAACCTCGGCATTGATCAAGTAATTCTTCGTATTTTTGTTGAGCAAACGCGAGGTGTTATTATTCTTTATTCACGAATGAGCTGACGTTTCGGCGGATTTCGCCTGGTGACTTGTTTGGGAGGATAGCAACACTGGCCCGATACATCGGTAGGCCATTGTGTGTCATTGTAAAGGCCATATATGCATTCAATCACCTCAAGCGATGCTTAATGAAGTCGAATGCATGACGCATCCCTCAGGAATTGAACACTACCGAAAGCTTTATCGTTCTTATCTTTTACTTCATGAAAACTCTTCTGAATAACATTAGAAGATGGCAAACAAATTTAGAACCGCCTCCTCGATTTCTAAAGTTACACGGGGGAAATACAGCATGTTTCTACGAAAATATCAAACAAGCACTAACAAAATCTTAAAATGACAAAGCTCAAGGAGATTCCTTAAAATATTTTTAAAAAAATGGTCTTTCAACTCACTGGCTTATCGCGTCCGACAAATGCTGCGTCAACTCGTGCAACTTGCGCTACATGGTCGTCTCCAGGACGAATCTCGTGGACACGAATACGCTCATAAATTCCTTGCAAACAAGCCCTGAAGTGAAAAAAAAGGTCCTCAAAAACGAAAAACAACAATTGGGATTAGCACTCCACCTACCGATCGATATCTGCGCCATCCTTTTCACCACGAATTTTATCTTGACCACGAAGATTGTGAATGAATTGCTCCATTTGCATCCGTTGCGATGACTGAGAAACACAATAGCGTTAACTGCATATCCTTTTAAAACTAACGTTCAAAATTCAAAAAAGAAACCTAGAAAGATTACCATTAACGAATCACCTTGCTATGGCAAATGTTAACAGAACATTCGTGAAAATTTGGATGAAACCAAAAATTTGACAGAAACAAGAATAGGATACTCAGAGATACCTTCAGATTTGGCGAGTGCAAATCTGTGTTCAGCATGATGACAGCGAAAGCGATCATGTGAATGGTGTCCCAGCCTCCCCGGAATCGTTTTATTTCTTTCGGATTACATTTCGCGTAGTGCTGGGCGAACTCCTAGAACAAGATGTTTCCCAACGAAGAAAAGCGTTCTCAAAACGGTTCGTTCGGCGACTTCATTAAGTAGTTACCTGAATAACCTTGTCGATCTTCTCAACTTCTTTCGGTAGGAGAAAATACTGCATAGCTTTCCTAAGAGCCACGTCGACTTCCATTCCACGAACGTCTATTAGGCCAATAAAATACCTGTAAATTTTTCAGCATTAGTTAGGGAATCGAAAAAAATCTGCCCTTTTTTCGAAACTGGAAAAGTTCTTAGTTATAAACTTAAATGAAGAACGTGCAAGTCACATACGTGATTAAGACGAGTTCGCAAGAATTTATCTATACTAAAACAATTCGATAACGTGAAATGTTAACAATCCTCATTGAGAAACTATTTTGGAAACCTTTCTTAGAGTCTAGCGGAAAAAAGTAGTAAAGCATTAAACCCACTTCAGAACGCATGCGTGGAATGTGGAATGCAGGGTGGAGATGTATTCGCCAATCATCTGCTTGCTAAGACCACGTCTTCCGAAAAGTAGGTTTGCCAGCGATTCGGCCGAATCATCGACGAATCGCCAAGCAGTCAACAACTGCACACCACGCTCTGGTTTCCTGAATGATGAATTGATAGCCCTTGTTAGCGTATCAACTATGAACAGCCATCAAATACAACCATTCTATTCATGACAACTCAAACACGTACTTGTTGAAGAAATTAAGGGCTATTCGATACTGTCGTTTTCGCTCTTGCTCACTGCAATACCGAGATTTGATACGCGGACGCTCCAAGTCACTGCAAGAGGTGTTTTATCATTACAGTTCCCAAGATCGACTTTCTCTTAAATTTGACATTGAGTCATAAATGCGTCGTTTTCTTTCTCAGGAATCGCGAGGTTGTTATTCAGCACACGTTTACTTCCGTACAAATGACATACAACAGTACGATGGCTAACGTTTCGGCAGCATCGTTTTCTTCGGAACCTGAAAAGGTGCATTGATACCTGATTTATTAGGCTTATCTGTTTGTGCTGTTGAAGCCTTTGGCCTACTAAATTGTATATCAGTATACCCTTCCAGGTTCTGAAGAAGGCGATACTGCCAAAACGTCAGCTACTATTGAGTTGTGTTTTTGTATGTAATTCAACGTATGCTGTACAACAACCTCGCGACTGCTGAAAAAGAAAGCACCACATTTATAATCCAATGCCGAGGTTAAAAGAAAGTCGATCCTGAAAACTGGTGACAATCAAAAAATTCCGGATGTAGTTCGGCAAATTTCATATGTTTTCACTGGACTTTGTTTCCTGGCCTTTTCCTCCAAAAATTGGCTATAGAGGTACTTCTTATGTAAGTGCTTCAAACCTAATACAAAATGTATTCATCCTATCTTGTTATTCTCATTTTATTTTACATGACCTGTTATCACATTTACTGTGCGGATCCCAGCACTTCTTGCATTCGTTTTTCCTCGCATTCACCATCAACGAAGATCTTCCAACTTTTTATTTGTGAGTTCGACCACTGATTGAAGACTTTTTCGCCTTCGTCACGTTGAACGCTGATTGAGCCGATTCTCTTTGCAATCTTGGATATAGTGTTCCCGTGTGAACTCGATGCCAGCGTCATCGAACTAGCGCCTTGCCCCTATGATCGACAGCATCACTAAGCCACCCCCATCCTCCTCTTGTTACTCCTCCAACCCTCTTTGTTTTATCTAGTATAAAAAAACTAAATATATGATGAGAAGGAAGAAGAAACAATTCACACACTGACTTTACTCACCCTTTAATTCCATTTTTCTCAATACGTGAAAGACTATTCGAGTTACTAAGATTCCCAGACACAATAGTAGCACGAGGGATCCAAACATTACAAGCACTTGGACTAGGAACGTGTGTTACACTGAAGGGACTTCGATCAGGAACCGGGAATCTTCGTTGTACCAGCCGTGGTGACATTAAACAATCTGAAAACAAAAAAAGACCCCTTAGGTCTGAGTGCAAAAAGAAATCAAACATTGCTTATTTGTTGAAATCACTAGCAGCTGACATTTAATGACAGCCTTGACTTGTCGAAAAATCGTTAATTGGGTTTGCATAGGAATGCAAGGACAAGCAGTGTAGCGCAACAGCGCTACTCAATCAGATACAGTTCGGTCGGATCAAAGGCTCTACAATGGTCCCAAAAAATGGAACTAAATTGTCTTATAAGGCCTTCCAAAAAATCTATTTCAGACAGACATGTCCGTATTCAAGCAGGATCACGCAAATCTAGTCGTGCTTTTTTTTCAAGAATGGCATGGTTATATACGAAATCTGTGCACTCTGAAATGAATAAACTATCGTTTCTGGAACTTAATAACAACAAGGGAGGCCCGCCAATAATCAAAACATTCAGAAAGGTGCTTCCATTCACTCTTCCACAGCGGATTAATGAGTTGTTTACTAGTCTCCACCGCCGTTTTCAAACTGTGAGAGGTGTTCATACTAGAATTGCACCATTTCAATGCACTATACCCTTTCGTAGTTCAAGGAAGAAATCAAAAAACAATATCTCGAACCATCTTGATTGAAGGACTAATTTGCGGCATTAGGGCTAGACAACCTTTCTGTTATATATCTGATAAAGGGAACTGCTCTAAACAGTGCTGCACACGTAAAAGATACAGAGTATGACCTCTACAAACATTCAGTGCAGCCTTTATGATTAGAAAATAAAACTGATGGAGACACGAAAAACTTGGTTGGCAAACCCAAAAACCCGAAAACCCAAAAAGCTACCCAAAAAAATCGTCGTGTACCTCTCACCTGAGCACATCCCGCCTACACAACGTGGTGGAAGAACGAGAAATCTATTGTAAGTTAGATTTAATTATTTGACCACTGAAAGAATACAAAACAGCAACAACGACGATTCTGTATATTTTATTTTAACTTAACTCGAATAGGGAAAAACCGACACTTTATTAATAAACTCAAGTTTTTTCACTCGTAAAAAATATTTGCGAGAAACCTTTGAAACTATGTTTGCTACAACTACGTGTAATTCTCTTCTTTCTACAAAAAACCCAAGTTAAAAAAATTCGGAGACACTTTCACGGTGGAAAAATGGTGATCATTCGTCTTAAATGCAGCGGAATAGAAACTACATCTGCAAAAATGAAAACCAGTCGTCCTACGTGAGTACAAATATAAATGGCTTCCAGCTGAATGATGATGAAAGAGTGATAGTCAGTTCTCAGAAAGTGTTTAGTTAGCTACTTCTAAGAAAGTGCTGTACTTGTTATTTAAAAACTAACTTTACCTCCGTCCAATCCGTATTGAGAAAAAAAAAACTCTAAATTGATAACCAGTAGTTCAACAAGAACGTCAAATCGAAACTCTTCAATGATTAATGCCGAAAAATCCCATTAACAATGACTTTTAAGTGAGTTTCACAGCGGCATCCTCGGAGAGTTAAGGAAGCAAAAGTACGAACCGGAATTCGTGACGCGTTTGGACTAAGACTCTTACCAATTTGAAGTACAGACATCGTACAAAGAAGCATAACAAAGTGCAAAATAAGATGAGTACTAACCTATCATACTTCTATTCGGATTCGGAGACGATGGCGATGGTGAGGGTGGAGTTCGTTTGTTTCTCGACAGTAATTCGGAAGACCCGGCCAGCTGCGCACGATCTGCGCGCAGCTGTGCACTCAGTGATGTGGTCGGAAGGTACCTGAACGTTAAAATTCAAATAAGGACTTAACTTAGGGATTAGACATGAAGCAAGCATCAAGTGGATGCGATGGTGTCAGCGGATAAATTGCGGACATCGAGCTGACGACAGCGGGTGAGAGTCAATAAAATGCAATGCGGCCGAGGATCTCTGCATCATGATATCCCCACCCGACCAAGGAACTAAACATGACAAAGAGGCGCTTCTGGACGGCGATATAAGTCGTCGAACCAGTCCAAACGCTTTTTTTTTAGCATACGACAGGTTATTGTGCATAAAGTAAAAATGAACCCTTCAAATGAAACAATCGGTAAGGATGATGAATGAATGGCGGCGTAGAGAAGATACAGAGGAAAAAGGCTCTTTAAAATAGAACAGATGAAACAAAGGTGAACCTTTCCCGGTTCTATGCCTACTCGACTAGACAGAAATCACATTGTATGCTAAAAATATGCTAAAAGAACAAACCTATTCAATGTACGATCTTTGGAGTAAATTGGACTCTTCGCTTTCGATTGTAAAATCAGTTGTTCATTAAGCGCTGGAGAAAATGTGTACCTAAATCGTGCACTTCTCCGATCAAATACTTCTGTCGATGGCCAAAATACCACTAGACATAAACAAGACAGAAAGTGACACATCTTATTTGATGTCGTACGGCAACTTCTTTTCCGATTCTGCCACGATAGAATTGTTCGTAGAGTAGTGTTCCTACTGTTCCTACTGTTCCTAGCTTAAAGATTTCTTTTCGTTGAAGCTCCTAGTTCAGAAAGCTGAACCATGGAAAATCCGGGATTTCGTCCAGCAGTACAAATAGTGTCTCCTAATGTGTCGTTGATGTTTTTGGTTGCTACTCTTGCGTTACAAATGTAAACATTCAATCCTCGCTTTAAGTATGTCAACTTTTATTTTCTGTCTAGATAAGTAGAACTGCTAGATAGAAAACTAGCTGAGAGACAGGTGAAACGAAGGACTCGCATAGTGTGGTGGCGAACGCACCAGCCACTGGAAAGGGTTATATCGCGTTCGTTTCCCACCGCAGACGGCTGCGGTCCGGAGTTTTGTAAATATCTCAGCATCACTGTGGTTCGCTTCTAGAGTTTTAAAAAATTTACTGCTAAATAAGTTTAAAACTAAATTTCATATGTATATATACATTTGTATTGATAGAACAAGGTTTCTCCAATGAGTCCGTCATGTTCTAAACTCTTAAGTGTTTCATTTGTAGAAAAGCAAATAAAACAGATGAAAACTAGATGCCGTCCTATGTGACCGCAAAAAAAAGTGACAGTGGGCTCGCTTAAGTTAAAACACCTCATTCCTAGCACGACATAGGAACTCTTTGATAAAAAGCTTTACTCGACCACTTAAATAAAGGAGTTACCTTTGAGTGGGTAACGTCATTTCTCTCCATCGTCTGTTCAGGCGATATTCACGATATGTCCGTTGGATGACGATCGCCGCTCGATGCGCACGTGCTCGGCCGCCGTAGCGCTTTTCCAGAACCTAAACATTAGCCCATTGCAAACCAGTAAAGAGAAATGATGAAGAACGACCTTCGTACATCTGTACAGTTTGTTTTTGTAAGCCTCTTTATTCATCAGGAACTAGAAAATTATCAATATCAGCGAAATGTCTGTGAATAACAAAAGTTTCCAAAATTATTAAATTATGAAGGTGCACCAGGAAAACAAGCAGAGAAAACGAAAAAGTGAAAAAAAGAGAAAGGAAAGAAGGAATGAAAACTTCGAGAAAACTGTCCTACGACGACCATACGATATAGGCCATATTTCAGTGGCTCCAAAATGCTCTCATACTTTATATACCTGCACGACAATGAAGAAAAAGGAGCGCTTCGATTATAGACTAGTAGAAATGATTGACTCATGCAAATGAAAAGTGTAACACGTTTGCTATAATCAAACAATTGATAGGGATAAAGGATAGAGCTTCCGGCGTTGATCGACCCCTGAGGACTGCGCCATGCATTCGACCTCATTAAGCATCGTCGGAGGTGACTGAATGCATATCTGGCTTTTATAATGACTCGCAGTGGCCTACCGATGTATCCAGCCCAGTGCTGCTGTCCTGCCAGACAAATCTACTACCAATTTGCCAACCCCGGTGGGATGGAAGACTTGATGACCTTTGGGCGCGGGGTTCGATCAACATGTGTACTGCAGGGCGCAGCGCGCTACATGCGCATTCTGAGAGAAAAAAACTGATAAAACGTACAACAGAACTGAAATCACAAACCATGAGGTAGCAGAAGGTCCGTGGTATCCCGAAAAACATTTTCACAAAATGGAAAGGCAAAAGAAAAACTGACGTGCCTAGAATTGGTTTTCTGCACTTTAATGCTAATCTTCTAACTTAGCCTAAAATCATAAGCGCCAAGTGCAAAACCTAAAGGAAAGGGTTCAAAAATCCGGCAAAGACGAAAAAATTGATTAATAAGTCTGTCAACGACAGCAGCATTGGAAAATTGAACCCGTCTGCCAGTAGCCATCCAAACGGGTTATACGTTAACTGTTAAGATTCAAGAATAAAAAGACAATTTAGTTAAAATCAAGGAAAAAGACACTTTATACAGCAAATTTCTTAAAAAGGTCATCTACGAACGAAAAAATAAAGGTACTACAAATCTGGCTGGACATATATCTGGTAGAGAAGCCATATGCAACGTCCAGAGTTTTCCTTCTCATTAGAAATTTAAAGCCATCTCAAAACGTCTTCTGCGCTGTCATTGTCTGGAGAAAACAGTAAATGAGATTCAAATCGAACCACATCGATAACGTTAGTGGACCGACGAAGGTAAATAAACAGAAAAGACACCTGTACAGATAGGGAACATCGTGGAAAAGGTGAAGTTTTTGTATTTAATAACATAAACAACTGTGAAGATCACGTGAAACATGCCTGACACAACCTTCCACGATCAGAAACTTCTTGATTTATTGGGACGTCATGATATATACCATCGATAAAGAATATATTCTCTTAGGTTTCCTAACTTAAACCCTATATACTGTAAAGGAACCGTCTCCGCTGTGCCCCATCTGAGAGTCATTTAAAAAATCCTTAGAATATCAACACTGTGGGAACAAAGGTGCCTAAATATCACCATCCCACAATCGATTCTGAATAACCCTGCTCAAATTATTCCCGTATAGTCCGCACAGTTGCTCCTTAAGCAAAGAAAACCGAAATCGAAGCTCGGTTATCATGGAGTAACTATAAGACCTACAGCAACGAAGAGGTCTGGAAGCCGGTTCAAATCCGCGTCTTGGAGGGAAGCGCTGCTAACACGCGAACTGTCACTTACTGGATAGCCAAACTTCCACGAGGATGAGGATAGAGGATTGAAAGATGGCAAACGTATGGATTAAAATATGATATAACGATTTGGCTGACCAAGGCATAACCAAGACCAGCGCTAATAACTGTAACGAATTTGTAACTGTTGTCTAGGTATTACTAGCAAACATATCTGGGGTTTTCATTCAAAAACTACTCAAACATTTGGAGAGATATTCGCCAAAATCGACGGACTGCATCAAACTGCAGTTGGCCCAACCATTTAACCAACCTAACAGCATAGCCTCGATGGCGCCCAGACCGCAGTGGATAAAGATGCCCTGGAACATACACGTGGTGGTTAGACCGATGCCACGCCCCGGTCCGAACAAGCCCTCCGTCCCTCCTCTATCGGTAAATTGGTACGAGGCCTGTCTGGGAGGATAGCAGCACTGGCTCGATACATCGGTAGGCCACCACAAATCATTGTGTAGGCCACATACACAATCAATCACCTCAAGCGACACCTCATGAAACCGAATGCATGGTGCATCCCTCAGGGATTTATCAACGCCGAGGTCATAATGTCTTTCATCGTAGATGAATGAATGAGAAGCCTTCAAGAGCAATCCAGAAAGCGCACTCCAATCACGTCCTTAATGGAGTCAACCCGGATTGAATCGAAACGATTCCTTCAAAGTACGAGATGTATGAGATCACACACAGTGCATTCGCAGAGACGTCTATTCTTAAAGAAGCTCAGAAAAACTCCCTCAGAAATAAAGAATATCTCTCATGTTTTTCGATGTGTCTTCATATGATTAATACGGAATATCTGGCAGCTCAAAGTATGCGGAGTTTGGGAGATGATGGAGACGATGAGACTAGTATAACTTGAGGGTTTTTAACCTAAAGCACTAGAGTAACTAAAAAAGGAGTAGCTTAGAATTTGGTCGGAGAGCTTATCAGCGCTGAGTGGTGAAGAGGAAAAGTGTGAAAGTAGGGAAATCCTGTCTGGAACCGTCCGAAACGTTGATGGATGTGTATTCACCCCATCATTCGTTGTCTAGTTACGTCGGAAAATTATGCCCTATCCATCTGGACTCATCACTGTCAAATTTCATTCACATCTGTCAATTACTGCTGGAAAAATTACATAGTAGAAACAATGTTTTCTTAGGAAAAAATTCCATAGAAAGGACAGAAATGACAAAAAATAAGAAAAAATACAGCGACAAGAAGAACGAGTAGTTTGTGAAGCAACAGTCTGTCATGAAACCATCGTTATTATTTGGGGATTGCCTCTTGAGACACTGGAGAGCACTCGGAGAAGTACTCGATATGAAATGAGGAGGACTGTAAAGGGTTGAAACTGGACGGACGGTTAGCGGCTGCAGTACGCGGCGTCAGGACGCAATCAATGGGTCTCATGTGACAGAAGCCATCTGTTGGTGAGACGAATGGCCCTCGATCGCACGTTTCCACAGCCATTCACCACCGCGACGGTCGGACGGACCACTTCCGTACACTCCCGACGGGACTATAGTCGTCTACACGACAGAACATTGACGCCCACTAGAGGTGGAGCGCTTCAGTGAAGCTGTCGAGAGCCACTGAATATTTATGCGATTGTTGCCCATCACCAGAATGGCGACGAAAAGCTCAGCTTGCAAAGACTGAAAGCTTCCTGCAGTTGCAAATGAAGGTCAAGAGCCCAAGCGCAGTAGGACGGACGGACGAGTAGTCCGTTTGACCGCATCGATTTGCGTCGGTGCGCGTTTTTCAGCATTCAATTGTCTCGCCAGTTGCCATTCGTAATTATTTAATCGACGCCATTTGTTTTTTCTATTGCACCAGAGATTTATCGACGAATCCGTAAAGAAACGTCCGTTACGAAGCTTTACAATCTTCGAGTTCGCCAGGAAAACTTGGAAGTATGAGTTTTTGGTCCTTGTCTCCCTAAGTCTTATTTGTTGTCGCCGTTTTTGGAAGCGTTCTTCATACTACAGTTAGGTATTCAGCTTATTTGTTATGCTTTTTTATAGTAGAATGACAACAGTGGAGAAAAATGTACAGGTAATGTACAAAAGAATTTGAAATCACTGTGCTATACCAGGATCCACCACCGCCCTAGTATCAAACTAGTCGCATGGTGGCAAATCTCCTTCTGTTCCACAAAGGCTGAGACTGCCGGTGGTGGTGACGAACTGGGGCAGACTTTGGCTAGGCTGACCTCGGGAGTCCACGGAATAGGTTAGACCGGTAAAACTCCGAAGAAATGGAGATTATGCTGGGACCCGCACAACCAGTGAGAACAGCCCATCTAGGCATATAAGTAAGTGAAGACTCGGTGTGGGAACGATCCGTTAATTTGAAGGTTATTGCTCCGGGTGAAATCTATCGTTAAGATTGAAGTGTAGTTTCCTGAGCAAACTTGCATTATTTTACAGGATTTTCACTAACCATGTGGCTTTTACTCTCATCCAGAAGTTACAGTAGTATGGAAGCGCAATCAAACGCTTGCGACTACAAAAGCTGGTTGACACAACAGTGATGTGCATTGCTTAGCAATCTCAGTCTATAAGCGGGGATCGAAACAAAATAACGAAAGAATTGGCGTCGTACTTTTCTTTTTGGCGATAATTTATAACCACCCTTCAGTCGAAGGCAAAAGAAATGAAGAAAACCAGCTTCTGACCTCTTCTTAACGTCTTCGACAAACCCCACTTAAGATTTCTGCTTAGTGATAAGGAGATAGGGCTTGCAAAGGAAGGGCGTTAGTCAGCATGGCGATGTTCAATCGCAGGAAAATCATTAGGCATAAAAAGATGCGATGGAAGGAAGGATATGACCGATAGTGACAGAAATCAGGATGTTCTGGTGTATCTGTTGTTTACTGTAGAAGAATATATGAATATTTTCAAAAATAATATGCACCTCGACACGTCTTCGTAGCAGATCGTCTGAGATCTCGTACCCGTTAGCCACGTAGACTCGACTGACGCTCGACATCCCTCGCCAGTCGGACAGTTGCGTCCGGCCGCAAACTGTGCTCATCTCTGTAACGACTTTAAGCTTCACTTGATCGAAAGTATGCTATGCGACACAGATGCTCATAACCATCAAAAATACGGAACATTTGGAATGGTGTAGGAGAACAGCAGCGAATAATGCAAAAGAACACCGGATTCCTAACTAGTGGAACTCATGGACGAGTTCCATGGTTCCTTATGTTGTAGTTCATTTACATGATTAGTATATTAAAATGTCTGTGCTCTCACGTAACTGCATCTATTCTGTGCCGAAGATAAATCGAGGCTAAAAAGTTGTGTTCTGATTAGTATAAAACGTTTGAGAATTTCGTCTTTCAAGGGTACACTACAAGCTGAACTATGCGATCTTGGGTATTTACGACCTCCAGTGATAAAAATGTCCCCATTCAATAACGCCCTAAAAAACATTCCCTACGGTGTCACGAAGATGGATGAGTTCGGAATGCCCATCGAAAACTAAAGAGCAAAGCACACCATTGAAATATCACAGCGGTCCGTAGATAACATAAACATTGGCATCGCACTGGTAGTGTACATTGAGGACTTTATGACGTGAGTGAGAAAAGTCAATCATAAGGTCGACTTAGTGATCGAGATGAAAGGATGACGTAATTTAAGACAGTAAACAAGAGCAACTAGTTGTATGTGAATCTGTAAACAGTTCACATTCACATTTTAGAAGATCGCATTCTAATGAAGGTCATCAGTAGCCCTAAGCACTTGGATAACTCCGTAGCGACATTCT